CCGTCTGCAACTCGAATTCTTGTCGGAAACTAGATAATTTTCAAAACTTCATATCTTCTTCATTTCTCAACCAAATTCCATGAAATTGGTACCAAAATGAAGCTTACAATGAGCAGAACAAAATCTTACCACTTTGAAGCCCTTAAATTCACGGAATCTCGCCAGAGAAACCACAAAATTCCAGCCAAAACTGCAACTCGCCACTCCTGGCCTTCCCGACGTCCAAAACACTTCAACTTTCTTCCTCAAGCTTTGTGAGAGTGTTCTAAAGCTCCCTATGACCTTAAAAACTTCTAAAACCCCCACGATCACGTGTACATGAACAGTGCACAAAATCGGGGTTCCCCGGTTCTTAGGTTTTCGAGGGTTTCACGTCTAAAAACTGGTATAGATGAGTTCGTGATGATGAGATGAAGGTGATGGTACTAAACACGAGCTCGATCTGCACAGAATGGGTTGGTTTGGTGTTATCCGTACGACTTGTACGGACGTTGCAGAAAATCGAAAGAGGGAGGAGAGGGAGAGAGAGAAGGCACGAGAGTGTGGTATAGGTGTGTGTGTGTCGATGTGTGGTCCTAGATGAATCAACAACCAAAAGAAACAACTAAACAACACCCCACAACACCAATTAACGTCCAAGGGCATTTTAGTCTTTTCGCACCTACGATACAAATAATTCGGGACGGGCTGTCACATAGGTGCCCGCTTAGACCTCGCCTAGCCGACTAGGCGTTAGGCCCCAGCCTGCTACCGGACTAGCGCCTAGCATCTTTTAGAACCTTGGGCATGAGAGAAAATTTAATGGAGGAGTGACTTCTTTGGCCACTTTATAAAGGATTAAGCTTTTTAGCTAAGTGGTCGTGGTAATTAGCATAATTATTTATATTGTGTTTTAAGATTTTAAATTGATAGAAGTGATTTTTGAAATTGTTCACCATCAATCATTTTGGTTATTTTATAATAAAACATTTGTTAAATTAAAAGTAATTTTTGTCATATCAACTTCTTTACTTGAATTGGTATTTTCTTCAACTTAACTTGTATTAGTAGTTCATTATGTGACAATTACCCTGAATTTGTTTCATTTAAGTCTCTCTTTCATGGATCAAAGACTTTGAATGCATGTGTGGTCTAAATTCAGGGAACTTTAACGAAAACCTCCCAGTACTGTTCACTTTAACGAAAAACCACATTTTTACACTAAAAAGTCAATCATAGTATTATTGACTTTATCCTTTATTTTGTCCTTATCGTTAAAACTCAAAATTTTCAAACCATTTTCATTACTTTTCCTCTAAATTAAAGATTCTCAATCATCAACAGTAACGTTAATAGACTATACACAAAGGGTAGTGGTAGTGGACTTGAAGAGTCAAAGTCTTTGCCACAAGTTTTTATGTATGGTGGGTCGTTTGCTTGTATACTTTTACAAACAAGTAGAGATTCTGTTGTTAGCTTGTTATATATTCTTATGGATAATGCTTGGTAGAAAAGTCTCACCACTAGCAAGTTACAAACAACCCGTCAAATGGTATCCAGCTATGAGTTAGTAAACGTCGTTTTAACAAGCATGTCTCTTTTGCAATGTGACTTTTGTGGTAAGGTGATGATATTATGCACACAGATTTTTGTTAGCATTGATGCATTTTGCGATTACATGTATCATTGATTTTAAGTGTACATAAACGATTGACATATAAAAGGTTAATGTTGACTTGGTCGCTGTAAAAGCCACACTGAAGGGTGATGTCATCGACCGGAGTGTAGACAAAGGGTAAGTCTGCGGCCACGTGTAGGGTTATGATTAAACCTCTACTCTGACAGAGGGTAAGTTTGCATGCACAATTATTGAAAATCTAGGGCAAAACAAAAGTAGTGGGACATGATTTCCTTCATGGAGGATGACGATAGTTTTTAGAGTGTTTGGGAATATGTGACTGGTACATCAAAGTGTTATAATATAATTAATTAATTTTTTTTTTTTTAAGAATTTAATTAATTGTATTATGATACTTTGTATACTGAGTTATGTTCTTAACATTGAAAAATATATTGGCACAATGACTTCTCAAGCCACTAACTAATATAAGATCGTGCATGAAATTTTTTCTAATATGACCTTGTATTAGTGATTTAGTACACCACAATAATATTATATTTGTTTCATTTAAATCTTTTTTCAACGGGATGAATCAAAGACTTTAAAAGAGAGTTCATCATCCAAAAAGATGCAGCGCATTCCAGACAAACAATACCGGCCAAAGATTTGAATGTCAAATATTTGGCTGCACGTCTCAATCATCAAGAGTAAAGTTAATAGACTTGATACAAAGGGGAATCGACGAAAAATCCAAAGTCTCTGCCACTAGTCTTTATGCATAGTGATTTGCTTGTATACTTCTCCAAACAAGTAGAAATTGTGTTGTTAACTTGTTATATAGTCTTATGGAAAATGCTAGGCTGAAAAGTCTCACCACTAACAAGTAACAACCAACCAGTCAAATGGTATCCAGTTATGAGTTGGTATACGTCATTTTAACAAGCATGTGTCTTTACAATGTGATTTTTGAGGTTAGATGATGATAATACGCACCCGGATTTTTGTTAGCATGATGCATATTGCGATTTACATGTATTATTGATTTTAAGTGCATATAGACGATTGATTCTAAGTGCGCATAACTGACATACGCTATTCTTATAAGGTACTTGAACAAATTAATACTTAATCTACTCGACCATCCTTATATAATATAGTTTGGCTACAATAATATTAGGGAATACCCTCAATCAGTTGAGGCATTGAGCTTCTGCCTAGCTAAGTTTATGTTGACATGGTGTATAATGTACATAACCAAAAAGCACATTGGCTTCATAGAATTTATGTTCATCTGTTTTGAAATGGATGTAAAATAAAGCTAACAAGTTACAAGATGACTGGCGTTTTACTAAAATTTATCGTTAAACTTCTACTAGTTAAAAATGAGTGATAATTGTGTGATTCATGAATGGGATGCACAATATATATTGGGTGATGTTATCCATACACACTTCATCTTATTTTTTTCTTAGCCGTTAGGTCGAATGAATTGAAAAAATCAAAAGACAAAATTAATGGAGGTCTAGGCACCACCCTATATATTATACAACAATATGAACCATTATTTATTAATGTGAAACATTTTAAACCATGAATCTACTCTCAAAACACATTAGTATAAATAATTAAACGAAAGAAGTGGAAAATATACTTTCCATATCCAGTTTGAGTAGTGTTCTGACTTCTGAGAGACAAATGGCCACAAATATTTTTTGTAATCTGTTGGGAGCTTGAGGTTTCCAAATTCAAATTTCAAGAGGTTGGGTTAGGCCGCCAGATGACATGAAGATTAGCTTTCAACGTCGTGATCATGGAGACGGTATCTCATTCGACGGGGCAAGTGGAATTTTGGACCATGCTTTTGCTCCCACGGATGGAAGGCTGCAGTTGGATGCAGATGAACGGAATTGATCTGGTTTGAGGCCTCCAAGTAAGAACAAACTTGATCTGGTTTGGGTGGCTACGCACGAAATAGAAATGGCCCTTCATGACTTTAGTTCTGAAGATAAAAAGCTATAAAATAAAGTTGTTGAGTGTCTGGTAAACTTGTTTTCTAGAACTACTTTTAACTCAAAAAACAGTGTCTGAGTATCTGATAAACTTTTGTATAATATTGTTATGAGCATGTTAAATGACTAAAACTGATCACCATGCTTAAAAAAAATAAAAAATAAAAAAGGGTTCTTCTGAGAAGTATGGTAGACTCTGCTTCTATGCTTCTATGCTTTTCACATTTGATACTCCAAATTTTTTAATAAACTATTTTTTTTTTAAAGCATCGCAACTCCAAACCAACCTGTTATCACTCAGGCATTGGGAATCGGAGGATGTGCACCATCAATTCGGAAATTTTCCTTGAGCATCTCGGCAGGTATGTTGTCCCCGATTTCTTTGAACAAAAATTTAGGCAACGGAGAGTTGAAGCACACCTTCGAAGCTGTCAAACTCGTTAGGAGTTTTATCGAATAAGGCTTCGAGCTCCGGTATAATGAATTGGGCTCTAATTTCAGTGCATGTGCCAGGACGTCTGACATCTTCCAGTGTCCAAATCGTTCCAAATCGTAACTTACGATATTGCTGCATAGATAACCCTCCTCATATTGGTGGTTAAATTAGAGTTTTATCTCAACCAATTAATGTATTAATGAAGCATTGTAATCATAGGTAATTTCCTTTACTAACCTAGGTATAAACCAAAGAGAAATACTTAGTTACGGATAAATCTTTTTTTTTTTCTTTTTTTTTTTAACAAACGAGAGGATAATCTGCACTGAATTTTTCTAACTATGGGGATGGGAGAAAATTTAAACTCAAAAAATAGTGAGTTCAAGAGAAACGCTCTTTCTACCAAGCAATCCGCCACTTGTTTGAGCAATCAATTAATTACCTTGTTCTTTATCACAATCTGTTCTTTTCAATATTATTACAAAAAATGCCACGGTAATCATAGGTCATGTTTCTAAATTGTGTCATTTCTCATTTCCTAATTTATAACATATTGATGATCAACATAAGTATTTTGTAATTAATATTGTAATCAATAACTCGAACTTCGCTTTATATTCTATGGAATCCGCAAATCGTAAACCTTGTATGGGGGCTAATGCATGTCTTGTGTTGGAAGGTCAAGGAAGTTGGTGATCTAATGACATGAGAGCTGGCAATTAAAACGCCAGTGAGAAGCGACCATAACTATAATGGTTCTAAGTCAAAAAATTTATTGTCGAATAAGTTTCAAGTTCCAACACAGTACAAAAAACGTAACGATCTTGACAGTCATACGCAATTCCAACCCAAAACCCAATTGTCCAATGAACCTCACACCTTTCTCAAACTCTGTAGGCTAGTTGGTATCCACATTCCCAAAGGGCTAAATGGACCATATCAAATCAACCCAATCAGATTGCAAACAACCCACATCCAAACAAACACGGGTCAGAAAAGACCCAAATTTCAAATCGGCTTAGTCTTCTCTGTCTGTCTTCCCATAAAACCCTAGACTTTCTGTCACTCTGTTGTCACAGAAAACGCAAAAGTTTTAATCTTTGAAAATTTAAGGAACCATGATGTCCGGCGGTCGGCACCAAAACAAATTCGCATGGAAGCCAAAACTCGGCGTCAAAATCAACGAAACCGAGGTCGGAGGCCGGTTCCGGCCGGTGTCGAAGATAACGGGGGTCTGCCAGCGCTGGAAGGAACAGATCGAGTGGAGGCGCCGTTATGGAAAGTACAAGACACTGACGGAGCCCGCCAAGTGCCTACGTTGTACCAAACGCCCAGTCCGTCAGCCCCACCATAAGCTCTGTGCTGCTTGTGCTAAGGAACAAAGTGTTTGTGCGAAATGCTGCAGTCGTATCGAGCAAATTGTCGGAAAAGACCTTGCGGAAGTGGAGTCTGAGCAGAAGAAGCTTCAAGAGGTTTGGTTTTTTAATGTTGTTTATTTAAAATTTTCAGTTTTTAATTGGTTTTCGATTCGGAAATTGATAGGTTTGTTTTGTTTTGTGGAAATTTTAATGCACAGGCGATCAAAAATGCAAGAGAAAGATATAGGAGGAGTCTATTGCGTGCGGTATGTTCTCGAATTTGAACACATTTGTTTGTTCTTGTATTGGATTGTGAATCAAAAGTTGCATAATTTGTGATCTCGGATTGTACAGTAACAGATGAATGCTGGAAAATCTATGGGTGTAGCGACAGCTGCAAGCGAGAAAGGAGACAAAGCGGGAGACCTGTTCCCCTCTGCCTCACTCGAAGAATATGCAGAGGCAAGCAGATATGATGAGGATAACGACATTGATGATGGTGAAGGTGGTAGCCTTCGCGCGTGAATATTTTTTGAATCACATAGTCATACGCACAATTTATACGTTTTAAATATATTTATATGCATAAATTAATAAAAGAAAAGTTAAATATTTGAAGTAAATAAATAATCTTAAATCATGCTAAAAGAAACCCTTATAAATTAATTAAAGCAGCTGAATTCACATAATAAAATCGGTCTCTATAGAATTTACATTAAGAATAGAGAAAATAATATTTAATAAACAATTAATTGAATCACATTATTGTTAGCTCATTGTGAGGTCAAGTCCACCTCACTTTCCTTTAGTGTAGATAATATCATTTGTTAATAAAAAACAATCATTTGATAACTATTTAATCAAATTATTATCCACTTGTGAAAGACATTTTTTATATCCGGCATTGCACGCGTCTTAAGATGTTTTGAACGTATTTAAAAATAAAGAAATTGAATCACATTATTGTTAGCTTATTGTGAGGTACAAATTAAAAAAAAAATAATTATTATTATTAAAAAAATACTGTTAAAATGACAAAACCTCTGCCTTATTTGATTCATTATTTTGGAATGCCTTTGAAGGTTTTTTATGTTGGGGGCATTTTTGTCCAATTACTTTTTGAAGCTTGGTGACACCAAAATCACTATTGACCTTTTCCATTGGCTTTATACATAGAAGATTAAGCTTTTTAGCTAAATGGTTGCGGAAATTGGTATAATTATATATATATATATATATATATATATATTGTTCTTTGAGATTTTAAATTGATAGAAGTAATTTTTGAAATTGTTCACCATCAATTATTTTGATCATTCCATAGAAAAAAATTGTTAAATTAAAAGTAATTTTCGTCAAATCAACTTCTTTACTTGAATTGGTATTTTCTTCAACGTGACTTTGTATTAGTTGTTCATTATGTTACATTACACTGAATTTGTTTCATTTTAGTTTCTCATTGATCAAAGACTTTGAATGCAGTGTGGTCTAAATTAAAGATTCTCAATCATCAACAGTAACGTTAATGGACTATACACAAAGGGTTGTGGTAGTGGACTTGAAGAGTCAAAGTCTTTGCCACGAGTCTTTATGTATGGTGGGTCGTTTACTTGTTTACTTTTCTAAACAAGTAGGGATTGTGTTGTTAACTTGTGATATATTCTTATGGATAACGCTTGGTAGAAAAATCTCAGCACTAGCAAGTTACAAACAACCCGTCAGATGGTCTCCAGCTATGAGTTAGTAAACGTCATTTAACAAGCATGTCTCTTTTGCAATGTGACTATTGTGGTAAGGTGATGATATTATGCACACGGATTTTTGTTAGCATTGATGCATTTTGCGATTTCATATCTATACTATTATTAAGAGAACTCTTCTTGTCAACTTTTTATCATTTTTTTTCTTATTTTGCCTTTACTTTTGATGCACAATACTTACATAAGGAGGGTAAAATAGTAATTTTGTATCTTTTGCCCTCTTTTTTTTCGTATTTTGCCCTCACTTTTGATACACAATACTTATATAAGGAAGGCAAAATAGTAATTTTGTATCCTTTGAGAAAATGACAATCATATCCCTATTTTTCCTATTTTACCCTCACTTTTGGTACACAATATTTACATAAGGGGAAGAAAACAGTAATTATGTAATATTAAGATAAAATATTCACTTATTAAGAAAAATTGTCCTACCACCATTTTTATACTCTTTTTAAAATTTTAAAAGCTAATCACACTTCTTAATAAAAAAAACAAAAAATAAAATGAAATTGTTCACACACACAGAGTGTGTGCTTATCGACTAGTATTATTGATTTTAAGTGCACTTAAGCGACTGAAATATAAAAGGTTTATGTTGACTTGGTCGCTGGAAAAGCCACACTGAAGGGGTGATGTCATCGACCGGAGTGTAGACGGGGTGAGTCTGCGGCCACATGTAGGGTTATGATTAAACCTCTACTCCGAGTTGTTATGTTATTGTTTGCATGCACAATTATTGAAAACCTTGGGCAAAACAAAAATAATGGGGCATGAGGCCATCTCCAATCGAGAGCTGGCCAGAGGACTCGTTTTAGCCCTCTGATACTCTAAGAAATTAATATTTTACTGAATAGTACAGAGTCATATTTGTCTCCGTCTCCAACCGAGGGCCAAAGGGCCATCGGGCTCGTTTTAGTCCTGTTACAAAAAACCGTCTCCAACCAAGGGCCAAAGGATCATAAGGCCAAACATAATTTATTATTTAATGTTGTTTCATGTTACTTAATTTAATTGAATGTTGTATAATGGCTTAGGAAGGAAGTTATAGGAAAAAAAATAGAATTTCAAAAAAATATGAAACAAATTTTGTAAAATATAAGTTATAGGAAAAAAATGGAATTAAAAAAAAAATATGAAACAAATTTTGTAAAATAGAAGTTATAGGAAAAAAAAGTTTAAATTCATTATAAAAAAATTGAATACAACAGCTAGTCAGCTAACCGTTGGATTCAAATTTTTTGTTTAAGCATTCATGTCGGTTATATCCGACAGGAATACTTAGCCCTCTGGCCTAGCCCGGGCTCAATGATTGGCTGGATTGGGCCAGCCCTTTGGCCCTTTCAGATTTCATGGGGCCCACGAGCCCTCTGGCATAGCCATCGGTTGGAGACGGTTTTCGGGCTATTTTCAGCCATTTGGCCCTCTTTCGGTTGGAGATGGCCTAATTTCATGGAGGAGTTCATCGTTGATTCATCAGGATAAAGATAATTTTTAGTATGTTTGAAAATATATGACTGGTATATCAAGTGTTATAACACAATTAATTTTTTTTTTTTAAATTTAACTAATTGTATTATGACATTTAGTATACTGAGTTATGTTTTCAATACTAAAAAATCTATTGGCGTGATGACTTTTCAAGCCACTAACTAATATGACCTTGTATTAGTGGTTCAGTACGCTACAATTATATTGAATTCGTTTCATTTAAGTCTTTTTTTGAATAGGATGAATCAAAGATTTTAAAAGGGAGTTCATCATCCAAAAAGATGCAGCGCACTCCAGACAAACAATACCGGCCAGAGATTTGAATGTCAAATATTTGGCTGCACGTCTCAATCATCAAGGGTAAAGTTAATAGACTTGATACAAAGGGTAGTAGACGAAAAATCCAAAGTCTTTGCCACTAGTCTTTATGCATAGTGATTTTTTGTATACTTTTCCAAACAAGAAGTAGAGATTGTGTTGTTAACTTGTTATATAGTCTTATGAAAAATGCTAGGTAGAAAAGTCTCATCACTATCAAGTAACAACCAACCCGTCAAATGGTATCCAGGTATGAGTTGGTATACGTCATTTTAACAAGCATGTGTCTTTACAATGTGATTTTTGAGGTAAGATGATGATAATACGCGCACAAATTTTTGTTAGCATTGATGCATTTTGCAATTTACATGTATTATTGATTCTAAATGCGCATAGACAATTGATTCTAAGTGCGCATAGACGACTGACATATACTATTCTTATAAGGTACTTGAACAAATTAATACTTAATATACTCGACCATCCTAATATAATATAGTTTGGCTACAATAATATTAGGGGATATCCTCAATCAGTTGAGGCATTGAGCTTTTGCCTAGCTAAGTTTATGTTGACATGGTGTATAATTTATATAACCAAAAAGCCAAAAAGCACATTGTCTTCGTAGAATATATGTTCATCTGTTTTGAAATGGAAGTAATATAAAGCCAACATGTTACAAGAAGACTGGTGTTTTACTAAAATTTATGGTTAAACTTCTACTTGTTAAAAATTAGTGATGATTATGCGATTCATGAATGAGATGCACAATAGATATTGGGTGATGTACCCATACACATTCCATCTTATTTTTTCTTAGCCGTTGGGTCGAATGAATTGAAAAAATCAAAAGACAAAAATTAATAGAGGTTTAGGCACCACCCTATATATTATACAACAATATGAACCATTATTTATTAATGTGAAACATTTTAAACCATGAATCTACTCTCAAAACACATTAGTATAAATAATTAAAGGAAAGGAGTGGAAAATATACTTTCCATATCCATTTTGAGTAGTGTTCTGAGAGACAAATGGCCACAAATATTTTTTGTAACTGTCGGGAGCTTGAGGTTTCCAAATTCAAATTTCAAGAGGTTGGGTTAGGCTCGCCAGAAGACGTGAAGATTAGCTTTCAACGTCGTGATCATGGAGACGGTATCTCATTCGACGGGGCAAATGGAATTTTGGACCATGCTTTTGCTCCCACGGATGGAAGGCTGCACTTGGATGCTGATGAACGAACCTGATCTGGTTTGAGGCCTCCAAGTAAGAACAAACTTGATCTGGTTTGGGTGGCTACTCACGAAATAGAAATGGCCCTTCATGAATTTAGCTGTTGAGTGTCTGATAAACTTATTTTGTAAAAATACTTTTAACTAAAAAAATAGTGTCTGAGTGTGATAAACTTTTGTATAAAATTGTTATAAGCATGTTGAATGATTAAAAGTGATCATCATGCTTTAAAAATAAAATAAAAAAACGTTTTTTTTTTTTTTGAGAAGTATGGTAGACTTTGCTTTCGCGTTTCTACGCTTCTCATATCTAATGTTCCAAAATTTTTAGTAAGCTATTTTTTTTTAAAGCTTCGCAACTCCAAATCAACCCTAATCACTTCAGGCATTGGGAATCGGAGGAACTGTGCACCATCAGTTCGGAAATTTTCCTTCAGCATCTCCGCAGGTATGTTGTCTCCGATTTCTTTGAATAAAAATTCGGGCTACGGAGAGTTGAAGCACACCTTCGAAGCTATCAAACTCGTTAGGAATTTTATCGAACAAGGCATTGAGCTCCGGTCTAATGAACCAAGACGTCTGACATCTTCCAGTATCCAAATCGTAACTTATGATATTGCTCATCGATAGCCATTGTCATATTTGGTGGTTGAATTAGAGTTTTATCTCAATCAATTAATGTATTAATCAAGCATTGTAATCGTAGGTAATTTCCTTTTACTAACCTAGGTATGAACCAGAGAAAAATACTTAGTAACTGATAAATCCTTTTTTTTTTTTTTGGACAAACGAGAAGATAATTTGCACTAAATTTTTTGAACTATGGGAGAAAATTTAAAGTCGAAAAATAGTGGGTTGAAGAGAAACACTCTATCTACTAAGCA